AAGCACTTGACAAACACGTCAGGTCTTTATTCAAATCCACATGAAATAGGTGCTGGGGAATTACGCCCTATTAAAGCTCTAGATCCAGGTTTAGTATTTGAAACGACCATGAATGATTACTACAACTTTCTTTGTTATTATGGCTACAAAGAAAACGAACTTAGATTAGTAGCATCAAAGAATTATAAGAATTTCGGTTGCCCAAGAAATGCTAGTACTAGTAAAAAGGAACTCATATCAAACATAAATTACCCTTCAATCTCTATAGAAAAACTTAAGAAAAATGAAGGGGTTGTGAAAGTGAAAAGAGTTGCGACGAATGTTGGTTCTGATCGAAATTCCACGTATACTTGTTCCACCATTGCTCCACCAGCTGGTTTGGTTGTTAGGGTTTCTCCCAGAAAGATTGCCTTTGTGAAAGGAATAAAGAAAGCTTCTTTTGAAGTCTCATTTGATGGTAAGAAAGCATTAAAGGGTTACAATTTTGGGATTATAACGTGGTCGGATGGCTCTCATAAAGTTCAGATGGTATTTGCAGTCAACATTGAATAGTTTTGCAATTTGTATTTTGTAGAGGGAGATATATCATTGCCCTAATTTATAGACCGGAACAAAATAATGCCAATTTTCAATTCCAGTAATGTTCTTATGACCATCAAAATGCAGTCTAATGGTACTTGTAAAAATTTAGAATTTCTATATGGTCAGTGTGCGTTCAATTTTCATTATTTCCTCTCCCTAATCTTTAATAAATCTCTTATTAAAAAAGTGTTCTTATAATCTCTTGAATTTTCTAGCCTTTGCCATTCATGAAACCACAAAGCGTGTGAGGATGGTTGAAAAAGTTCCTAAGAAAAGAAAAAAAAGCTACTACTTAAAAGGAGGTTGATATTTTTGTGAGCTTGGCTCAAAACGGACAATATCACAATATGTTAAAAGTATTTTTAGGCTATTTTATTCCAACAATATGATCGTCTCTTTTCCTGCATTTTTTTTATTTTTTTGAGAATATGTGGTTTTGCTGAAAGTTACCAACAAATAGTGCAAGAAATCACCGAAAATAAACTAAAGTCCACACACCCGTACGCTAGTGAGAGTCAAATAAGTAAATAGTACGGAGTCATATTTTTATGTAACATATATCTTGTAAGTAAGATTTGAAGATATGAATCGACCAGTTAATGGTGTGTCTTTTTTAAAATTATTAATAAATCAAAATGGAACAAACCCCTTGATAACGAAATATATACGAGGGTGTTTGGCTAAGCTTATAAGCTGGTCGAACTGGCTTATAAGCACGTTTTAGCTTATCTACGCGTTTGGTAAACATCGTAAGTACTTATAAGTCAAATGCTTATAAGCTAAAATCAGCCATAAGTCATAAGTTGGTCACCCCCAACTTATGATTTTTCAGCTTACAATCACTTTTAGTTTGACCATGACTTTTACTAGTTTATCCTTAATAATATTTTTTAATTCACGAAATATTTTTCTCAAAATAAATTTTCTGACTTTCTCTTTGTTCCATATTCGTTGTTCATCCTTTTCTTTACAAAGAAACTTTTTAATTTATAATCTTTTATCAAAAAATTAAGGGTATTTTAGTCATTTAAATAAAAGAACAACTTATCAGCACTTTTCTGCCAAGCACCTGGTTATTATCAGTTTCATCACGTCTATCCAAACACGTAAATATACTTAATTAAAAAATCAATTTCAGCACTTAAAAAACCTTTTCACTACTTCAAGTTTATCATCAGTTTACAATTAGCTAACCCAAACGGGCCCTATATGAGCAAATTACTAGTCTCAAACTATTCACCCTTCAGCATCTATTAATTGTTCTCATCAAAATAAATTGCAATGAAACAAAGTTCTACGTAGTACTATTACTAGAAAAAGATAAAAGAGAGAGGCTCGATCGGCCAGAATCACTTCAATGGAGAACCTTGACGAGTGAGTAGCACCAACACCAGGCCTACCGTGCTTGACAGGCTCGTACGAGATTGAGAACTCAGCTAAATAATGTCCAATCATTTCAGGCTTGACCTCAATTTGATTGAACCGCGCGTTTTCCATTGTAAATTCCAATAACGCTTCCAATCATCTCTGGTTTTCACTTACTTGAGCCTCAAGTTTCGCCTTCCGCAGCTTCTTTATCAAAGCCATAGGCCAAACCCTTGTCGAACCTTCGGCGAGGACGAGCAGGGAAAAGCTTAACGAGATCAGTAATAGCCATGTTAAGAAGAGTATCCTGATCCACTCCTCGATCTGTAGCTGAACTTCTTAAACGTTCTCTTCTTTCGCTGGCCGCCGGCGGCAATATCAGCACCTTCAACGTCCGCCATTGCGACTAGGGTTTTGAGGGAAAGATTAAGAGTGTTTTTATTATTGAAACAATATATACAAAGTATTTACACTAGAATGACTTGGTCTCCAAGTAATGAATGGCTTGGTCCCTAAGTCAAGAAAATTAATCTACAAGTAAAAAAGGAAAAAGATACTACAATAATATTACATATTCTAATATTAAAATTAATAGTCTTATTTTCCTTAATACTGGACTGATAGTTCTGAATTTCTAGAAAATAAAGGGGGCCTCAAATACTTATACACGTAATATTAAGTTAACCAAAAAAATAGTTGATCTTATAAGAAATCCACTACATAAGTACTTATCTTTGTATATTCTGAATGAAATAAAACTCTGAGTTCAAGAATAAGATATGACATGATGTGATAATATAGGTAAATCACGTACATTTGAAAAAGAATTAAAACATCATAGTAAAATAAAATACTACTAGTATACAAATGGGGCTGATTATTTAAAAGGAAATTTAAGCATTGCTTGAGAGGGTAGGGGAAAATGTCTTGGAGAGGCTAGTTGGTTTTCCACAAAAAGTTTGATAGGGAATGATTTTCATCCGATTTCACAAATATTTTTTACATAAATGATGCTTTTCTGTTTGTTTTAGTGCAAAATGAAGTTCCTTCATTCTAACTTCATTAATTGAAATTTTGTTTAATATATGCAATTTCAAGTATATATTCAAGAAAACTATTTAAAAAGAGCACAAAAAACCTTCTTCCAGACGTAAACAACATAGAAAACTTGCACAAGAATGATATTTTGAGTTAATATCATTACTAGTCCTATATTTCACTTTCACAATTTTCGTACTTTAACACATGACTAACATTATTTATTCATACCCTTATAGTTTAGTAATCATATCATTATTGGATGGTAAATATTTTTCACACTTAATGTTTATATCAACACAAATATTAAAATATTTGAGATGTATCTTAACATGTATTATTATTATTATTATCATTTTATGATATATAATTAATCCATTTTCCTTTATTTTTATACTTAATTAGAACAATAAGACGTGATTAGTATACATACGGGATGCAAATATTTAATTCCTGGTTGAATTGCCATTTGCCACTGCCAATGCTACAGTGAGTCAAAAGGTGGCTTGGATATTTTCTTTATTCATTTGTGAAAAATATCCGAACCCAATATATCATATTTTGTGGACATGCTTTCTTCGTTAACCCAAAACTTGCACGTGCGTCGCTAAACCGCACGTGTAAAACATATTTTATGGAAATATTTAATTAAGGGAAAAAGATTAAATACGTTACTAAAAATAACAATAAAGAATAAAGAATTAACATTAATAATAAATGAAAAGTACAAGTATAACCTACTTTACTTCTTCCCTTTCTTCTTCCTAGTGCGCAACTCAGATCACAAAGGGGCTGAAGGTTTCTAATTCTCTGATACCTTTTACTTTTTATCTTTAATTATTTAATATGTGTGTGCGCGCTCGTGCAGATGGCAAAATTTTATGTTTTTTTTTTGTTGTTGTGAATTTTAGTCAGTGAATGTTGTGTGTGTTTATGTAGGAAATTTGAGGAAGGAGATCTGATGTACTTGCTTGTGGATCTTAATTATTCGGGAGATCATGATCGCCGTAGAGCATAAAGGTATGGCTTTTATTTTATTTTTTAATATGGGTATTTAATGCTGTTATGTTTTATGTGTGTGGAATTTGCCATGGTGGGATCTCGACTTTTCAGAAATTATGGGGTTGAACTGAAGGATAGGAATTGTGGGTTTCATGTGTATTTTTTGAATGCAATGAATAAGCATTTGATTCACAGTGGTTTTTGGTTTTGAATGGATGTGAAAGAGGAAGTTTTTGATCATGTAGTGCTGTTGGTGTTTCTTTTCTTACTTTTTATGAAGATAATACATGCAATGCTATTGTCGGGGGAAGACTAGGAAGACTTTAAGGTCGAATAATTGGTTACCGAACTTTTTTTTGACAACAGTGGTCGGGGATAGCGTCCTTTCTAGTTTGTGCGCATATTGACTATTCCACCGAGTACATGCTACCTCCCACCGATTTAGGCAGATGAGAATAAATCACCTAGTTTTTTGCCGTCTCTGTTGAGGTTTGAACCCTAGTCCCCCAAGTTTACACTCACTTTATTGACTCACTACGCCAATACCTTGGATAAACATAATTTCTGGGGTAGGGAGTGTTTGGGGGGGGGGGGGTGTGTGGATAAAGTTTGTCTTTAGGTTATGGATATTTTGCTTCCCCCTTTTTCAATGGGAGTTTATGTTGGAACTTAGAACTGTAAGTTTTACTGCTGCTATTTGACTTTAAAGTTTAAATGGACATACATAATGTTCTTCCAAACCTATCAAAGAACAATGGTTCTTTCATTTTGGAGATACTATTTTGTTGAGAGAAGTTATTTGGCTAGGTCATTCCATTGTCAATTGTTGGAGTAAATATAATATTGCACTAAATCCACAATCCGGAGGGGAAAAAGCAACTACACCTCAATCCAGAATAAATTGTTGTCTATTATATGAACCTTCATTGACCATATTGTTCCAGTTAAGCTCATTTTAGATAAATATTATATAAATTAAAAATAAAAAGTACTACACGTTCTACTGGCATATAAATCTCACATGACTAAAAGACTCCTAGAAAACATTGGATCTAAAGTAAATGTATTACTATAACTAAAATATATTCCCAACTAATTAGTATCGCGTATACATGTCGTTTTCTTCCATTATGCCCTATTTTCCGCTAGATTTGCATGGATTCTCTAGAGATTGTAGGTCTTTCGATATAACTTATGTGATTTTAGGTCTACCTCATCCCCATCAATACCTTTGCTTTCACACTCATAGACTGGTGCATCCGAAAGTCGATATAGGACACGATCAAACCATCTCAAATAACCTTCTTTTATTAATTCTCGAAGTGTGCTACTTGCACCTTCTGGTGAGCATGACCATTTTTAATCTTGTCTAATCTTGCATGACTGCACATCCTTCCTATCATCTGGATCTCTGTGACACTCATCTTGTGGTTATTGTTTGCATTTAGGCACCACAATCCTGTCTAATCTCATTTCAACTTCAATCATGCATATATTTAGTCTTACGCTGCTTCTCCTAAAACCCTTATCCTCAGGAGGATCCTTGCTGTTTTCCTATTTTTTGAGCTGTGATTCTTGGTTTAAAAGGTGATTTGCTGGGATTCAAATCTTACCTTATAAAAAAAGATGATTTGCTGGGATGAACTGGTGAACAGTTTACTTGAATGTGATTTAATGGCAATTTAGAACTAATAATGTGTTAGNGCCACTGACCCCCACTATATTGGCAACTGGTAAGCGTGTCTGTTATTTGGCAAGCAAACCCTTGAACAGAGGTTTCCAGATGTAAAATTTTCATTTTCTGAAATACCTCCTTTTACTGGAAATCTGCTAGTAACATTCTATCTGTGCTTGCTGTAAGTAATTAGCTGGAAGTGATCCCTTTTCTTTTCATAAATTTTCTATTACTAAATGCTAACTCTTACTTGTGTTTCCAATGATACACCAACTAACCACCTGTCTTCTCACAGAAAAAGGACCAGTGAATAGGCTTATTTTTCATAAGTAGGACCACTGAATAAAGCTATACCTTTTGGAAAATATGAACTTATAAAATTTGCCTCCCAAGAGACGTCTTGATGCCACGCAAGCTTCTTGTTTCGGGTAGTTGATAGCGATTGATGATCTACGTGTTTTATTGGGTATGAGGAATAAACTCACGATCATTTCTCCGATCATATCACTTGATGTCCACTCCTTCTACTCCATGACTAGTTGAGGTGTACCACCTGCCCTCAAAGTAAAGTCAGTGTCCCAGTATCACATTCTGATTTATGTGTGGAAGCAAAACTAAGCTTGAGACTTGAGTAACCACAAATGCTATAGTTACCCCCCTTTTAGTTTTTAATTTATGGAACTAGTTGTATTTTCCCTCTCCTACGTTCACTGCATGAAGCAAAACTCCATTGTTGAAGGACAATGCTTATTTGAGAGGTGAGCAGAGTGTCCTTTTGCATACAGCAGAGTGTCTCCTCTTAACAGCCAGAGATCTACCTTAATAAAAAAATTCAAAACAAAAGCCAGAGCTTCTGGACTGTAAAAGCTTGGGAGGAGCTTTGCCATTCTAGTCCATGAAGTCTGTTCGAGATAAGCATCAAAGAATTCGCATGGTTCTCATGTACTTAAGTTATAGACTAGTAACTAGTTCATTTGAGAAGTAGTTTGATTGCCTTTTATAGTAGTTAGGGCTGCTACCTTAAGGAGAAAAGCTGCAGATCTGCATTAACATTTAACTGGAACTTTGGCATGGCCTCTTAGTCATCTCATTGTTCAGCACTGTTTTGTTTATCTAAGGACCATAGAACAAATAACGGACAAGCTGCAATGAGATTTAAGTTTTTAGTCCTTTATTATAAGTCATTATGTTGTGTTTATTTAAAAATCTTCTTTTGGGTTTGTTTGATTTTGTGGCAATTATGTACTTTGGAATCTTAATTTATTCATGTTTGTGAAACACTTTCATTAGTACCTATGTGATGTATTTGTTATTTATTCTTGGACTGCAGATACTATGCATACGAACTGTGAGGCATCCGTAAGATGCCTCCAGAATGCAGGCTATCCCCATAATCTGCATTACAGTAGGACCGCTGTCAAAGTCTTACCAGAGCCTAGTGATGGCGCCTATATTCATCCAGGTGGGGATAGCTTGGACGGCACATTGAGTGGTGAATCTATTGACTCTTCAAAAGAATCGCCAAACCACACTGTTTATCAGAATGGCTTTGGTTTATGGTCAGCCTTTTATCCTAACTCAAATATGCATCTGCGCTCCGTGAATGCTATTGAAAGCCAGATCTTTCCATATCCAATGGATAACCACTACCATTATAGCCTATTAAACATGTTCCCTCAAAATTATCAGTATGATTATCGGTTCCAAGATTTTCAGTATTTTGTTGTTATTGACTTTGAGGCAACATGTGATAAGGAAAAGAATCCTCACCCTCAGGAGATAATAGAGTTTCCATCAGTAATAGTGAGTAGCACGACTGGCCAGCTGGAAGCTTGTTTTCAAACTTATGTGAGGCCAACGTGCAATCAACTATTGAGTGATTTCTGCAAAGATCTGACTGGTATCCAGCAAATTCAGGTTGGTTGCAAGTTTTGATTTGCTACCTATTATAGGATTTCGTCTGAAATAGATGAGAGTTTTAACTAAATAATGGAAGAACCTTGGATAAGCATATTTTTAAACATGTAGCTTACTATCCTTCCATATTATGAAGATTGACTTAATTTGATGGGTTGAAGTTGGAAACTATCTGCTAGTAGTTATGTTATTCATTTGCTCATTGATTGCTTTTCTAGCTTTATTAGTATAAAAAAATTATAAATAACTAGAGCAACAACAAAGAAAAATAAGATTTTTTACAGAGCTTATGGAGGTACTTTCTGTCCTGTGCGGGAATGCGTGTTGCAGCTTGCAAGGTTAAATGAGCAATCATGAAATGGAGTAGTTGCAATAGAATGCTATCATTTGTTATGTCAGAAATTTGAAATGGCCAACATGTGGTTTGAGATGTATCCTCCATATGGCTATTAGATATTTGAGAAGTGAATGATAGATTTTGGTATATTGTTTCAGTTATGTGGTGCAAATGATTGAACTTTTAAATTTATGATATCAACTTCACCCCCCTGTGATGTGTAGTATCTTATTCATGGTTTTAGACAATATAGAAGGGTTTGTCTCTTAATACACAACCTTTGCTACCTATGTGCTTGTGATTACCAATTTTATTGACCACCATTGAAGAGATTAATCTAACTAGATGATAAAAAAATGAGTTCGTAAGATGAGGTGGATATGTCCAAACTCCTAAGAGAACACTAGTCTTTCTTGAATTTAAGGTGATTGAGTTTCGTCCATTGCTAGGCATGTTTTGTTCCAATCTGACTTAAGTATTTCGATCTAGCTTTTGGACACATTTCACTCTCAAGCAGGTATGATCCTTATTTTCATTAATAGAATTTTTTCAAAGGAAGTCGAGAGAGAACCCTGGTCTGTCGTAGAATTTAGTTTTCTAAAAGGAATGTCTTACTGAGGTTTGAACAATGGTGCTCGTGGATTTGTCCTGAAGTTGACGGCACTAAACAATAAATATCTGCCAAAATCATTGATTGCTAAGAAAACATTCTGCAATATATTAATATTAGAAACAGGAATAAGAAATTAATATAAGAAAACTTGTTACTAAATCTCCTTGGTTAAAAAAAACTAGTTACTGAATTTGGAAAAAGAAATTTTTAAGTGCATTTTTGCATCTGCATCAGAAACTTGATACGCACGGCGTTTTAACTCCAATGACATGGTTTTCACTTCATATAATTTACTTAATTACAGTATGTTTTAAACTTTCTATACTCGTGTTTATATATATATATATCATACTATATTAAAAGTGGGAAAACCTTTAAGTTAAAAGCTGATTTACAAAAATATCCTTTAAAAGTTGAGTGGCCATTTTATCCCTGATACAAAAATTATCATTTTCCTTTTTTTTTTCGTCATTAATTCATAATTTAGCTTATTTTAAAAATTCCAAAAGTGTCAAAATACATTACAAAATTAAAGGAGGAAGATGAAAAGACTTCGGTTTTCAAAACTTTTTATGGTCCAAGACTATTAACGTTTTAGAACCTTTTAATTTACTCTTATATTTCATGTTGCAATCTATATTGTGACACTGAATAGTATTAGACAAACTGTAGTGGAAGATAAAACTTGAGGACATGATCCCACCTTCTAAAATGGAGTTTCAAAATCATAAATCTGGGAATTTCAGTTTACATAAGTAAGTCGTGGCATGGTATATATATATTTTTTTTTTGGTTATTAGTTGCAGAGCTTTTACTTGCATGTATTTTATTCCTTCTTTTTTTGCAGGTTGCAAGCTTATGCTTCTATTAATTTCTTCTTCCTTTTTGTCCTCTTTATGAATCATTGTGTTTGATTGTTATGTTCCTTTTAGCTTCTGTGGTAATATATTATTGGATATCATTTTCACATTCTTATTACACCTTATATTATAAGAGTAAATAACAATGTGTCTAATTACTTCATCACATTATCATATTTCTCATGTTTCTGTTGGAAATTCTTTTCTCACAAAAATTCTGCTTTTTTATTTCAATATTTCACTTAGCAACACTTGCAAGCGACTGGTAAATCTATTTACTTTTTTTTTTTGGCCTATTAGATAAGTTTATTTTCTTCTAACTGCTTATTATATTGAGACTTGTATTTATAGGGTAGCATGATATTTTAATAGTATTTATATTTATATTGTTCTAACAAGTCTGTATTGATCATATGGAATACACGTGCATCGCACGTGTTCAGAAACTAGTATATATATATCTCATATTTTTCTTCATCTGTGCCTTTCTTTGCTTAAAGCATTCGCTTAAAGAATAATGCAGTTTTTAAGGTCAGGCTTGGAGTTTGGAGTATCTTTTCTATTGAAACTTATTGTGCTGCACCTTCTTTCTTGAGTAGGTTTGACCTGTTTTGTGAAAATTGGCCAGTCTATTGCTACTTTCTTTGGGTTTAATGTTGTAACAGCTGAGTCATGCAAGGTTGAATTTTTTTCTTTGACAGGTTGACAGAGGAGTTACTCTAAGTGAAGCTCTCCTTAGGCATGACAAGTGGCTTGAGAAGAAAGGGATAAAGAATACCAACTTTGCTGTTGTCACATGGTCCAGTTGGGATTGCCGTGTGATGTTGGAATCAGAATGCCGATACAAGAAGATCAGGAAGCCTCCATATTTCAACCGGTAGGTTTATATTCTTATTTGTATCTGTGTTCTAAAGTGGAGCACTTTTTCTTTGGGTTAACATAAAAAACGTATTCCAGATGGATCAACTTGAAGGTTCCTTTCAAAGAGGTTTTTGGAGGTGCAAGGTGCAATTTGAAAGAGGCGGTCCAAATGGCTGGCCTAGCATGGCAGGGCCGTGCACATTGTGGTCTTGATGATGCCAAAAATACAGCCCGCTTGCTTGCTTTGCTCATGCACAGGGGTTTTAGATTCTCTATCACCGATTCTCTGATGTATCAATCTGGTGATGAACCCTCTACATGGAAGCTACCCCCAGATCACCCATCGTTTCCCTCTTATCAACCTCAAAAGACGAGGGATATGCCTCCAGGATTGCAAAATCATCAGCCTTACTGTTTCTGTGGAGTAAGGAGCAGCAAAGGGATGTTCCGGAAACCAGGTCCAAAGCAAGGAAGCTTATTCTTCGGGTGTGGGAATTGGACTGCTGCTAGAGGTGCCTGTTGCCAGTATTTCGAGTGGGCCTTGTCCTGAAGGACCAGAAAAAATGACGTAACATTATTCAGCCGAATCATCATCATTTCTCTCTCTTTCTCGCTTCTTTCTCTCTATGTAAAAAGTGAAACGAAAAGACTTGGTTGATGACTGTTTGAGGAAGTGAGTCTACACTAGTGGAGATCTTCACTTCCTACCAAAGTAAATATGGATAGTTCAATCAAACCCTTTGGTTTCCAGTTAATGTTTATGAGCGGTAAACTTAGGAAATGAAAGATGGAATGATCCAACCATTTTAAAACTGACTTGTTGACAGTGATTGAACTCTACGGATATGAGTAATGGTGTAGTTAGAAGCATGCATTGACATGCCCAGACATGTTTTATTGTGTTAAAAATAACGTGTGAGCATTTGCTATTCAATGGGAATGACAGCAGAGTTGCTTGCTCATAATTTCTCCTTATGCCCCTCCTCTCACCTTTTACTTCTTTTCTTAATTTGACTTGTATATTGGACCTGGAAGTGTTGTGCCTTAGTGGACCTCAAATTATTCAAGATTGAATTTTGTAGTAATTTCCAGTTATCTTTTCATATCATAGCTTATCTTGAAGATGAAGGGCGTTACAGGAAGAGTTTTATAGGCACATTATTGGTAGATATTAAGTGTCAATAGGAACAAGCCTTAGTATAATTGTCTGAGCGAAAAAATTTACCAAGTTGAAGCGGCCGCATGCATTTCAGTAGACTTCTTCTTTCGTCAGTTCCATGTCTTTAATGTAAATTTGCTTAGCCTTTCCACGAATAGAGTAATCATTTGAGGAATATTTTCATTCAGCAAATTTGAAGTTCTTTAGTTCAATCTTTGATAAACTTATGTCACTTACATTTGGTTATCATTGTTATATACTCTTCTACACTCTTATATGTTGTAATTTATTTTATTCCACCGCCACTTGCTTGCTTCTCGTCTATCACTAAATGATTTAGCCACTATATATTTTCAAGACAAGAGAGTACCCAAAAAATGTAGATTTAGCAAATACCAGCTGGATGGTGATCGTTGCATCTTTCAAAAGCTTTTTTTTTTTTTTTGAACTTTTGTTTCTGAAAATTCATAATGCATACGAATCAAAAGCATTTCTCAACCCTGACAAAAAGCAAGTGAATGCTTTGACATATTTTTCCCCACCTAATTGCCCAGCAAATCAGGAAAACGAGTAAGAACTGCAGAGGATAGAGGCTTCAATATCCGAAGATTGTTACAAGAACCATCGGAAATAAGCAATTAACTTAATTGTCCAAAAAATGGTAATCGAATAAAATTAGAGTCCCATTAGCAAAATAACACAAATTTGGGCATCTGAGTAAATTTTGAAACTGCACCTCAAATGTAACGGTTTTGTACTCGATACTTCCCTCTTATGTTTTAAGTTTTAAGGTCTTATTATGAAACAAGCAAACAAAGGTCATAATCACCTCTTTTAAAGTAATCTAGTGTAGGAAATTCAATAGACTTGCTACTAAATAAACAAACCATACACTTTGCTTTTATCAAAAGTCTTAGTTTAACAGCAAAATTGTAATTCCAAAAAACTCGTAATACATAAAGTCTGGAGGGCAAAATACCACAAGCATATAACTCATCTACCTAGGTAAGACAAAGGATCTAAGAATCAGCAATAGTGACCTCAACCTCAACACCAGGTTCAATGGTGATTGAGGTGATTTGTTTGACAACATCTGCAGAGCTGAAAAGGTCAATGACTCGCTTGTGGACACGGAGCTCAAATCTGTCCCATGTATTTGTACCTGTGTGTAGAGACAAATGAAGGAGAAGATTAAACTTTTTGATGAAAATAAAACTCCTCGGATACACAGCTTTTTATTGATAGAATCACAGATCATCAACATGACACAAAATTAAAAAAGGCAATACAAGAGGCTCCGACTTCATAGATTACTTAACGTTATCTTCTAAGACCTAGAGAATAAGCATAAAAATAAAGAAACTAGTGGGGGCTGGGGGAATCAAAACCAACCAGCAACCCAATCATCACCACGGTAGGAAGACAACAAAAAAGAGCCTGGAATTTTATCATGAGTTGATGTAATGGAAATGTGGCTTGTCGGTATGGGTTAAGTGGTTTTTTTTGGGAGGGGTGGGGGGGGACGCATGCCTGACATACAGTTGTGTTGGGGGATCAAATGTAGTTGAGGAAAAGGATGTCAAGTGATTGATTGTTCGATCCAAACGCCGTTCTGCTTTCAGATTGATTGTTCGATCCAAACGTTGTTCATGTTTTCAAACTCTTACCACCAGTAACACCGGGGGGTAAGCACCCACTCTTATCCAGCAATTGAACTTTCGAAAAAAAGTTCTTTATTAAGGACTTTGGAACACAAGTTTATATATTATATAACCACTTACTAGAAGAATAACTCTCAGATGTAAGACTACAGAGACTAACCTTCCAAATTACCAATTTAAAAAAGTTCAGACTAAGTTGAAAACAAAATACTCTCTCCTATTGATACAAGAATCTCTGGATTGGATTCAGAATCAAATATCTCCAGTTTAAAATTATGTTATTTCAGAGAGGAACAAAAAGGCATAAAAAAGTATGAAATGGTAGTACCTTCACCACAAGGAGACTTTCTAGTGGTAATGTTAAGGACCTTTGTGGGCATCCTCACTGGTCCCTTCACCCTGAGCCTCTTATCCTTGGCACCACGAACCAAATCAGCACACACTACATGTTTTTAAATCATGTCAAAGAATAAGAGTGTATCTCTTAATAATTTATACAAAACCACAACCACAAGTAAACCATATATGAAATTGCAAACCACAGCTCTGACTGCAAAAAGTCATTCCCAGCTGAAACACAATGCTCCAATATCTACTTTTACCAGTAGTTACCAGAAATAGGGTACATTTCTTCAAGGTAGACAAACTAATAGTCATTGTCTTTAAACATATCAACAAGTTCTACTTCAAGCATGTGAAAGTCCAAATATAAATCAAATGTACACATAAATTTAAGAAGAAAGAAAAATTTCTGTCAGATACCAACAAAATGTAGCATATGACCTGTACCAATGAGTAATGAAATCAAATAGTAGCCATGGGGATTCATACAACACGGGCACAACACAAAACAAGCAAATGCAAAATCATAAGCCAGTTAAATCCTTCTTTCAACAAATTCCAAAAATTGAAACAGAATGCTTTAGAATATTCTTTTTGACTACCAAATGAACTCAATACCATCAGTTGATTTGTTAGAGAACAATATATCTCAAATTAAAGCTGAACTAGCAGTGCTAGTACTCCAATAGACACACTGCTACAAATTCAATTACTCTATTATACTAATTATATTTATACTTTCACAATTTTCTCATCAAGTCTATGCCAAAAATCAGAACCATAAAGAGTTGGAAAGCCTTTGCACTGATCCAATGAGTTTCGCATACACACAACTGAAGCATAAAACAATCACATACTCATGACATTGAAAAAATAAAGAAGCATAAAAGGGGAAACCTTTTTCGAGATTCTTAACATTTTTGGAGGAAAGAGTGATCCGAATCTTGTGAATCTGCTCCTGTGGCTCCTCTAGCCCTGGCTTGGTCGGCTTCATCGCTGCATATGCTGCCATCTTTCTGCACACAAAACGAAATCCATTTTTCCATCATACACACACACAAAAAAAAAAAAAAAAAAAAAAAAAAAGTTTATTTACTAAGAGAGAAGAGCGGTGCGTGGAGATTACATTACCTGAGAGTGGAGAGAAGAAGCTCAGAATTTTGCAACGGAGACTGACTGGTACTGCTGCTGCTGCTGCTGCCGCTTCAACCTCTCTTTCCAAAGGCAATAGGAGGCTTTTGAGAGTACTCTGTCTGCTTTATATACCTTAAACCTAGCTAGGGTTTTATTTTCTTCTGTTTGTTCGGGTAACTTACTGGACTTTGTAATAGAAAATCATAGAATTAGTCCATTATATCTAGGTTCGTTTAAAATAGTCCTTTAAATGTATATTTGAGCAATTTTGGTCCGCTATGTTTATAAAAAAAAAATTGAACACTTTTTATTCCTATTATATTTAAAATGTATGATGGTAATTATCATTGTAAAAAAACATATGGAATACCACTCTTAACTCTTAAGTTGATGAAAGAATGTTCTCATATATAAGAAACAATAATTCATGTATATTTCCCATATTGATTTGCGGGTTGTAAATAATTTTCATGGATCAATAGACCAAGTAGTCGACTAAGTATCTTTCTCCAGCAACCTCAACCTTTAGTTTTAAAATAGTTATATATAGCATGGGGGAAAAGGAAAGAGATATATAATGGGGTGTTATGAATAGCTTATAGCGGTGCTTGAGGATGTTAAGCGTTGTAACATTCAATAAGTGTTGGAACACCAAAGTTGAAAATTTCTTTTGAATTTTAAGGTATTCGGTGATTACATTACCTTCCTTATTTTACTTGCTCTACCATTGCCCCCGCCTGCATTTTTGTTTCTTTATCAAAATCTAAAATTTGCATTACCCAATACTCACTAGAAATTATTCAATTAGAGAGAGCAATGGGTGCAAATCAGAAACAGGGTAAGGCATGAGAATAGTCATGCGGAATTGGGCAGGTTGAAACAATTGTTTTGAAAATCCAAAACAAGAATGGAGCAGAGGCAGGTTAAATAACATTGGAAAAGCTTAAACGAAGTAGGGTGAATCTATCCGAGACTGGTAAAAACTAAAAATAGAGAATATCGCAAGGAGGGTCGGCCACAAATTTAACGGTAACACCCTCTCCTTGCCTTCTAGACCCTTATGATTTGTGAAAATATCGTTATGTTATTTTCACTTGACATCGCTAAAATACTTGAAAATGATCTATTAATGCTAAAAGATTGAAAAGAAAAAAAAAACTCACAGCACAGTTAGCGTTAAGTCTAAATAGCATGGTTTTTGCGTTGTTCATGAACCGTTCAGTATCAGTTCTTCTTTTCATTTCTAACTGATAAAAAAAGGTGCACGCAGAGATACAAAGTTGGATTAGCCTACAGCATCTAGATCAACATCCGCATCTGTTTCTCCATCAATCATCCCCGTCTCTGCTTCTGTGTCTGCTTCCATCTGCCCTGCTTCTTGAGCAACATCTGTATCAGAGCTTTGCTTCTGGTTATCTTCTGGAGTTGGAGTTTCTTCCTGAGATATGGTAACAGTAGCAATTCTCGTGTCTGTGTCAATTGGAGCAACTGATGCTTCAGGATCAGCTCGCCCCCCTTCATTGTCCATCTCACTTGCTGCTGTCGCGATCTAGCCATAACATTACAGGATAAGACCAAAAGAATTGTTAAGGGCAGAAATGGGAGGACTAATGAACTAGGGAAAAAAAAGAAAAAAATATGCACATATATATATATATATATATATATATATATACACACACTCAAAAAACAAACTAGAAAATATTCCAAAGTATGAATAATTGAAGCATCAGACAGAAAGAAAATCAGATTTTTAGTAAATTAAGGATAATAACCATTAGTACAGTACATCAAGACCAAACAAAATACTACATTTTAGCATCTATACCTCCAATAATGATATGATACAACCTATTTGGTTCACCATTCTCCAAGAAGAATCAATATTTTAATTATACGGCAATTGTTGAGATGATCATTTCCAGATGTGAATATATGTTGCTTGGTATTTCCATGGACGTCTTCACAAGTAGGAAGGTTTGAACAGAACATGATGATGTGATAGTTCACGAAAGATATAAGCTGTCGTGACAAAGACAGGCCATAATGAACTATAAAAGGTGATTAAAAAATTTTGTTTTATAATTGAAGTTATATTTTCGGGAATGGTCAGCATTTTACAAATGTAAGTGTCCAATGTTATGGGAAAGGTTTTCTCCTTCAGACTATGTAAAAAGCATGTGGTACAGAGGACGTGAAAACTGTGGTAATTTCAAAACGCAAAAGAATACTTGATTCTTATGGTAAAGCCAATTGCTATCTTCAAATCAGCAGAGAACTGCAACAAGGATTAACTTACAGGGAAGAAAAAAACGAAACGGGGAACATAAGGTTAAGTTCACTTTCAGGTACCTGATTTTCTTCTGCTTGCTGCGCTGAGGTTTTTGTTTCCTCCTTCTTAGCTCGCTTAGTCCTTTCACTTGGCTTAGCTTGATATCTGGCCCGCACTTCAGCAGGCAAAAGTTCCAGAGGCACAACCCCCTCAATACCGTGCTCTGTAAACTGAAAAAGAAGCATGTAACAAATTTCATTGAGAAGTTTAAAATTTAATTATAAAGACTGGAAATCACACCCATAAGTTAGCTCATACTCTGGAAAATCCCTCCAAGTCTTGGCGGGCTGAAAACCGCAAACCTTTCCAACAATAGACCTGGATAGATCCCAGGATACATCGTTACAATCATGCATCCAAGAAAGAGAAGTTATAGAAATATGCATCGTGAGTAGAGCATAAAGATATATGATGATATCAACACATAACAATTTTCTCCGCGAGTTCTCATTTTTACTTTAGAGAGAATTATTGCGTACTGTTACATGTAACATCTTCCACATAGCATGAGAACAAAGAATCCTTAATACACCTGCTTTAGAAAGTGCATTGGACCACCACACTATCCCACAACAAATGAACAGAGAGTGAAATATTAGGCAGGGTCACAAATATGTCAGATAGAACATCTATTTAATCTTAGGCATTGGTTTTCATCCCCGAGGGGAGGACACTTATGATGAACACATAGCTCGTGTCGAACAGCTGAAGGAATCTTAGCATTCCAATTACTTTACTCACACAGGGATTATGACCCAAAATCATTCTATGCAATGGGTTTAGATACATGTGCCATTTAATTACTAATTAGAAACTACAGAAGAAAAAGAGTTGATCATGTGTTGGAATCAAGTGACAACTTGGAATCAAGTGTTATCAAAGGCGAAAACCGCAAAAAAACTCTAAGGTCCGTTGGGGCTTTAAGCGCAAAGCGCAAATAAAGCGTGGGCTTTAATGAAAAAAGGCTCAACCAGAGAAAAAGTAAAAATATGTATATGTAATCTAAGACTAATAATTATAAGCATGAATAACAAATATATGGACAAAAAAATTGGAAAAAAATTACGATAAAATGAAATATCAATTGTTTAATGTCGCATTTTCATGATTACACTCATTAGCAAGGAATAGTATGCCTTAGAGCTTTGATGCGATACTAAAGTGCCCACAAAGCGAGGCGAAGTGCTCAACATGTTTTGAGCCTCGCTTCGGGGCTTAAGCTCGTTTTAAGCGCGCTTTTGACAACACTGCTTCGAATAATGCAAGGGTGTTATGCCAAAACATTTCAAGAAAATGTTTTGTTTAAAAATAGATGTACACAACTTGTGTTCTAATAGAAGATTCTGAACTATCAGCTATACACCGAGACAAACCTTTTCCTAATCTCTCTTTTAACAGCAAATATACCTTTTAATTTTTTTATCTGATACAAGATCTTTACTTAGTCCAGCTTTGAGGCTCACACAAGTCCTTTATATTTTTTTACTAGGTACAAGTTCTGTATATGTAGAGATAAATATGCAGTCATCTATGGCAACATGGTTCTATTATATTCTAACGTAAATGAGCTTTAGCTACTTATCGTGTGTTTATAACCTTATGAGTTGATCAGTTCTGCATTAGAATATATTATGATACAAAAATGAATCCTAATATCACTGTTTTTGGTGTAAAACAAACTGTTAGAAATGAATCCAAATATTTCAATGAAATAAACCAGAGTTAGCTAGCACTATGTTGCTATAGTGTCTTCTTAAACATGCCATTGTTCAAATAAGAAAAATAAAAGGTCACTTAAGCTGTAACCAAGAACATAATGAATGTCATGGTGGTAATAAGAGGTGTAGGGGAAAATCAAGCAGAAAAGATGAAGACACTAACCCGGTTATTTTTGTGATGGTATTCCGCTTCTATTCCAGCAGATTCATCCATCTAGAAGAGAGAAAAATCAAACTGAGAAACTCAGAAATCAAGGAATTACTACGAAGATACCTGTTCCTATCGAATGAAAGGAATTACACAAAGTAAAGATTAGAAGAACATCTCCTACAAAAGTTGTTTTTCTTAAGAGATTTAATGGATACTTACATCTTCTGCCAGAGGTTTCCAGTAATCTGTGATAGAGGGAGTGCGCACACGTTGAGTATCAGTTAAAGCATTCTGGAGAAAGAAGAGCACGAGAAGATAATTACATTTAGCCATTCAACATCAAAATATAAGCTCCGTCTTCTTCAGAGTCAGATACCTTGAATAAGACATGTTAGAAACTACATATTCATGGTTTTAGTCTTTTGGATGATACAATTTCAAAGTCAAGATTGAGAATCAGATGAAACTAGATTTCTTTCAGAAAGAAATTAGTCATACACAGTTCGGGAGCTAGGATAAATAATTTAAAATAGGAGCACGCGACAAATATTTCTTGGTGAAATCATATTATAGATGATCGCTCAGTGGTGGGGATGCAAGGTCCATATGGAACTATGGAAGACCAAAGCACCTAGGAAAGAGGGGTCCTTATTTGGATGCCATCTTAAAAGTTAACATATTATGAAATGGAGAAGTATGTTACGAATCAGTGCTGTTTGTACAAAGTGCATGGGAATGATACGGATCATTTACTAATAGTGCAGCTTGCAACATAGCAAACTGATCTTAGTATATTCTATTTAGCATAAAGGCTATGGAAGGCAACACCTCTTTATATATTCCAAACAATCTGAAGAGGAAACAAATAGAACTACAAAAAGCGAGACCTGCATAGAAAGTCGAAGGAGATCTTGTTCATTTGTAATTTTGGGGTAAACAGAACATTCTTTCTTGTATAGATAGTTGGAATAATATTTTGTATACTTGATATCACACCTTTTGTACAGCTGACATTGTCCCAATGTGATGAAAAATGAAATGATTTTCAATTATCAAAAAAAAAAGAAAAAAGATGAAGGGATTATTTTCATTTTATTTAGTTGTTTTACATTTAAAAAGCCAGAAATAAATATTCATATCTGGAAACACACAACATCTCTAACAAGTATCTTAAAATGTGTTCAATGTGTATATGATTCATACGGTCCATGATGATTGAGAAGATAATTGGTTTTCACAAGTGCATAGTCCATAGAAGACCATCCATTACAAACAAGCTCATTACACATTATTACTCACTGCAACTATTGTCAGAGGTTTAAAATGAATCATCTATGATGAGAATTCATTAAGAAAAGAGTTGTAATGATTTTGTTGTGTAATTGTGACAATATCAGCAAGTTCCTCATACACAGCAACTATATATATCTTGCTACATGGGACTCATGCAAGTAATAAGTTGATAAAAACAAACCGGATACTGATCTGCCCATTTCCACAATTGAGAGAGTTCTTTGTTTCCGAGCCTCCATCGTGGCCGACTGCGAGTAAAGGAAAAAGAAGATGGTTAAAATCACCTAAGTTGTGGGTAAAGGGAGCCAAAAACAAAAGCAACAGTTTGAGTTCCTGAAAACAAGATAAGTAAAAAGGATTAGGAGGAACTAATGACTAAACATAACTATTTATGCTCCTTGGCTTCTCAAGGCTAGAATACAAAACTTTTTGCGGTCAATTGGTTACATAGGCTGCTGAGGATGGGATAAGCAACTATCCAGCGCAGATGGGTCCACAATGGATTAAGATGAAATAGGTCATAAGGGCACCATTTAGCAGAACATGAGTTTTGTTTCAAAAGGATTTGAGAAAACACAATTCAAATTGCTGAATGACTTCATCTCCTACAGATGTGTGATGTACATAGATAGAAATTTTCAGACAAATTCTTCTGTTACCCAATGCAGTAAGTACCAAATATCACAAACAAACTAATTTCACAAGATTGAAACATCTGCCAACTGTTCTGTAAATAGTTTAACCTTAAGCAGTGGATTTAAGAACTGACGATTATACCAATCACACAAGGAAATCTGGGAAGACTTTAGAAGCACAAAACTACGTTGGCAGGCTTTCATTACGGAAAGCTGTGATATGGTTTGCACGTGATCTTTAGTTCACAAAAGTTTACTACAAAATCTACAGGCCACGTAAGGATATTCATCCATGTTATATGTCCAGAATAACAATGGGCCTCATCCACTTTTAAGTCATTGCCCGTAAGGAAGAGAACCATGAAGCATGTGTTCGTTGGTTGAATCCTTTCCAATTAAATTCACAACTTTGGCTGTACTAAATGCTATGTTACATGGATTCCTTTATGTTACATACTAAGCATGGTGTGTGGAAGTATTTGGTACAGGTATATCAAGTTTTTTGCTTAACTTTTAGGATATTTTAAAGAATCCGCACGGAATATACACTCTTATCACACCCCTCCCGAGACAGATATATCAAGGCAAATGAAGGATTCATGTAACCTAGACTAAACGTGAAAAGCTTTGAAGAATCTTGCATGCTCTCTGTTGAGTGGTGTATTAGACTTCAGCATAATGCAAAATATTCCAGGACAAAAGTATTCATCCAGCCTTAGTTTGGAAGGGAATAGTTCTCTTAGCATTGCTATGGTGATTGCAGAAGGATTGTATTCTGGAGTGGAGTTGTTGGATCTTCAAAGGGATTGGCATACTCCTTGTTTAAACTTTTCATTACGCGTCATTTTCTGATATGTCACTAGAGGGCACTTAGTCCTCCTATGCATTTTCATTCTTTTTAACAAAACTTTTTCAATGCGAGGGAAATGCAAAACTAAAAAAAATATATGATCTGGATATGTTAACCAATATATTATGCATTGTAAGGATTAAACGCAACAGCGCATGCCAATTTGTAGTTACCGTTTTTTTGTTCCACCTTGAACCGGCTTTTTCTCTACCGGTTGCTTCTCAAATGGAGCGCAGCCATCACGTTTCCACCAAACCTATGGAAAGAGCAATCATTCGTACAGCATAAAAAGTCGACCAATAAAAAGATCTCCTGCATGAAAAAGCGAATAGAGAGAGAAAACTGATGCTCACCCAATTCCTTTCACGCTCCAATATGTGCTCAATGCTACAAAGGAAATCTTTTCCTTTGGGTGGAGTCATTTCAAGAAGCTTCTTTACCCGCTCTTCACTAGTCTTTATTTCCTCCTTCTATAATTTTGAGGAAACAAATTAGCTTGTTGCTCAGGTAAAGCACAAAATCTCTGAGTGCCACATAAATGATCAAAATATTTCTGTCTAAGGAACAAATTTAAACACAGAGCATCTTGACTTGCAAACTAGCAACACCAACAAAATATCAAACCCTACAGAGGAAACACCATAATCTGCAAGAACTTCATAATGGTAGAAAGAAACAAATGAGAAATATGTGATATATCCCGTTAACCAATTTATTTATATATTTCATGTCCTCAAATTATTTTAAAAATTGGCATTTTCTCCTGACCATAAAATCTATTAATGATGAAAGATGATTATAAGTTCCCAAGAAGAATATGCCATGACCACATTTTCATTCTAGAACATGCATCAAAATAAGGTGCATGCTACCAATTTTTTGTTGGTTCCGAGGCAGTGAGACATGTAATTGATAGAGGTCTTGCAAAAGCGGACAAGTCAAATCATTGAGGTCATGGACTCATAGGTCTTCTCCTCTTGATCGCAGGTAAAATTTACTCGTATTTTAGTTAAATTAGATTCTTCATTTATTTCTTTTCCTTTTGATAGCTGCTGTTCCTGGGTCAGCTCTTCACGGGGGACGTATTTGATTCCTCTTTTATGAGAGTAGTTCCACAAATAGTAATCCACCTAATGGTGGGTTTACTTTTGCTCATTGTTCCCTTAAAAGTAATTAGAGAAAAGGTAGAAACAAAAGAAAAGAAATTGAAGCATGTTTTCCTCCAGGCAAAAGGTAACACCTGCTAATGAGAATGAAGTAATTCATCAAAGGAAATATAGTCCAGATCAGCAACATCAGAAAGTACCAATAAAAATACTCTTTGTTATCCACTGCATTATATCTTAAGAGCATGGGTTAAAACATCTAAAATTACGTTGCAACATTCTAGAAAAGAGCAGTCTAAAGATTGTAAAAGAAAATCACTTCTGTTAACAGTATGTTTCCTTCAGAGAACTTCTATTCAGAACATAAATTATAAGCTGAGGCCTCACTTGTTCCCTGGTTTTCTTCTGGAAGGAACATATAAATAGTATTCCTCCCGAACTATTAATTTCCACAGTTTTACTTTCACATCTAAGGATTGATCACCCTCCCAGAAGAATTTTATATGCATGAGGATGTGTGTGCCACACACACACACACACACACATATGCAAGCATGCATGCATTGATACAGCATGAATGAAATAAACAAAGGCAAGACCAACCATTGCTTCAGAGGGCAATTCCTTCTCACTTTTTCCCGGAGCCTGCATGATTACGAACAAGTAGGAGTTTAGACACTATCTGGTTGAAACTGAAAAGGAGAGCATTTGAAATTATCCATCCACCTTGTACCCAAATCCCTGTTACACACCTGTTGACCACGGGTTTAACGTTACACACCAAACCTTTCAAAAGTGTGTCAATGACACACCACTTTTGACCCATGACAGGCGCGTGTTCTACACCAAAAGTAGGCGAGTGAATAACAAAAAAATGTATCTGAAGCCTCATTTTATCGCCTTATATGTAGTTTTTTTTCCTTTCATTTTTTTCTATCATCATCTTCATTATCAGGAACATAAAGAAACAAGCAACAACAATGGTTAAGAAATTACTCGAAAAGAAACAAAAAAAAAAGGCAGAGAAGAAATTGAAGAAAACCCAGCAATGGTTAAGAAACCCATTATCTCGATTTCTTGACTCGCAAATTCAAATCATCCTGAATCGGGTTGGTGAAAATTGATTCAAAATCTACCTAACAAAATCACCGATTCTAGGTGAAACAGTAGTTTTTTAGTAATCGTCGGCTTGGTTTTCTTGACCATCGGAGGAGTTCTCATCTCTGGGATTAAAAAAAGTTAGAGTCGAAATCCATCATCAAAGCTTGTTTGAATGGTTGTTTTTGTTTTTTTTCCAGTGCAATTTTGGGTCTAATTGTATCTTTTGCAGTCTTTTTCTGGTCAATATCTGGTCAAGCTTTCACTGTTCTCGTCCCTGCTCCAGCGATGGAAATAAGTTTTATGGCCACCGG